TCCCTTTTTGTGTTTTCTCTATTTATCTTCCTGTCTTTTTCTTTCTCTCTATACCTCGTGTCTCACTCACTTTTCTCTGTGTGTGTGTCTCTCTCTCTCTCTCTCTCTCTCTCTCTGTTGGGGTTGTAAATTATAATTTTTGTCACAAATTTATTGTTGTATACATCATCTTAATATCCTAAAAGTTTCACAATGATACACACCAAAGTTATGCAGAAATTGTATTTAACAATTTAGCTAGCACAGCAAAATTGGAGATATTTTCAAACGAGTCACAACCACATTCATATGTTTAATTTCTATGGCTGCAACTTTCTAGTTGATTTTCAGCACATTCCCCAAATCCACACGCAATTAAATTTAACAGCATTTTCACACGTCTACAACGGCAACAGCAAAGCAAGTATTCTTTTTTACAGTTATACACGCGTGCCCACTTAAATATGCAACAATTTCCGCATAATTTCGTGCACTCGCAGTGGCCAAGGGGGCCCAGCACACTCGCCTCTGTGTGTATCTGTGTGTGTGTGTGTGTGTGTGTGTGTGTGTGTGTGTGTGTGTGTGTGTGTGTGTGTGTGTGTGTGTGTGTGTGTGTGTGTGTGTGTGTGTGTGTGTGTGTGTGTGTGTGTGTGTGTGTGTGGGCTAATCACACGACTGACTAACACGAACTATCTGTGGCAGGTGTGGGTCTCTGTGTGTGTCTCTGTGTGTGTCTCTGTGAAGTTGACGCTGAGCCTATGGCCAAGCAATTATTACGCACCAACAGGCACGCACACAGACACCCACACCCAAAAATACACAAAACAGAGGAGCAAGCGATGTGTACAAGCCAACAGAACACACATTTTGGTGGCTAGTCTGTCTCTATGTGTGTGTGTATATGTGTCGGACAGTTCCTGAGGCATGTGCGGGTCCTGTGTCGCCGACGTTGATTAATATGCAGCAATTTGCACTCCGTGAATTTTGCGATAGCGATGCGTGAAACTGTCATGCGATTTTCGGTCAACTCTCAACTGTTGAGCCAGCAGCCAAACAAATTTGATGACCCATATACGTATGCGTATGTCGGATGCAAATGGTTGCCTTAAATGCTGGCTTAACAGTTCGAATAGTTTTCGGTATTTGATGGCTCTGAAAGTGAACCCATGATCCAGTTGCTCTGTATTAACTGAACTCGGTTCTATGGTAAGCCATTTATCCCGTTCATAATTAGCAAAAGTTAATTATTAACATGCCATTCAAAGCCAAGCTGATTACAAATAGCGATTCTAATTTCAATGTTCTTATTTATTCTTCACTTTTGTCAAATCTATAATAAATGGCTCAATGCCAAATTTGAAATGTGCAGGATTATAAATTGTGGCACTTTTCACTTTCTATATTGATTATTAAATTACACTAGACAAATATATCTGTTGGTAAATCAAAGAAAATATGCAGTGTCTGTTTTTCGTTCTCCAATTCGGTGGCAAACCTCACAATTTGACTTTTGCCGTCATTTACCATTCCATTCGGAATCGTTGATAACACCGCAGGAGCAGGAGCGCTTTGGGAAGCTCAGTCAAAGGCAACACATGCATAAATTATGTGCGCAAATAAAATGCAGCAATACAGTTCACGCCACGCAGCACACGCCCTCTCCTCCCCACGTCTCTGCCACTACGCTGTGCTATCCAGAAGCATTTTAAAACAATTAAACCAACCAACATGTATTCTCGCTGGCTCATTGGTGGCTCAGACAAAAAATTCGGCATTTATTTAAAAGCTCCACTGCACGAAAGTCCAACGGCAAACGAACCAACAAAAAAACAAAAACACAAAAAAAAAAGGATAACCTTTAAAATATTGCAGGCACTTTTGGAAGCAGGTGGGTAAGCAGGATGCGAGGCTCTGATTTAGGTTTGCATACAACAACAACGATTTCCATATTTTATTAACTGCTAAAAACAATTGAAAATACATCTAAATTTGGTCAACCAAAATCGCACAAAACACCATTTAATAGCCAACTGAGGTCAACAGTACAAATCCCTTAATTTAAATGCATCATTAAATATAAATAGTTTTTAATGCTATGAAATATTTAATGCTACAAATTAAAATAGATGAACTTGCCGTTGACTGAACTTTGTAATTTGAAGAACAAAATAACGAAATATTTTAAATTAATAAAATTAATAACAAAATAGTAAAAAAAATTTTCTATAAGTTATTATTGTACAATTTCAGATTCGTTTATCGCAGCCCTCAGCTAATTTTTAATTATGATAAATTAGTATCAGTACATTAAATATAAAATATTTAGTAAATAAAGCGATTTTCCCCAAATTACATAAGGCTACACAGAAGTGCTGAATCAGTGATTATTTAACTAATTAAATATAGATAAAAAAAAGGCTTAAAAACTAAAATTAAACAGATAAAAAAGATAGAAAAATTTATGATGCGAAAAATAACATTAACAAGCCAAGTGAGGTTAAAAGCTTCACAAATCCCATAATTTAATAGCATTATTAAATATTATATTGCTTGTATTGTTGTAAAAAATTTAATTAAACAAAACTTGCAAAATTTCAAAACAAAAATAATTAAATATTTTTGATTTTGGATTTTACAAAAACAACAACATCAGTTTAATTATGATTAATTAGCATCAATCCATCAAAAATTAAATAATTGTTAACGTTAAAAAAAAGTAAAACAATAAAAAATCTTGAAATAATAAGATGTAAAAAGAAATTATTTCGATTTCGTTTCGTTTCGTTTATTTTATTAATAAATTTATTTTAGATATAGAAATGTTAAAAGCGTTTTGTATAATTAGGTTAAACATATAATTAGCTTAGTTTAAGTTTGCTTGTGGTTCCAAGCAATGTAGAATAAATTTGAACATGGGCTTAATTTGGCGGCAGTCCTATCTAAAACAGCTTTATAAACCAAATAATCTGAATCATCAGAAAGAAGCAATTGTAACAAGTTGATTTACCATATCTTGAAGTAAAAGCTCAACATTTTTATCATATATACTTTATGGGCTCTTTCTCTTGTGCCTCGACAATTCGTAAGAAAATTAGAATATCCCCAGCCAATGTCATAATAACAATTCAAATTGAACTGCAAAATTTCTATAGATACACATATATATATAAACATATATACATGTACATATATATAATATCCCAAATGAGCTCAGCAAATTTGAGGTTATGCGAAAACTTGCCTCAACATTACTTATTAACATATCGAAACCATTTCATTGGAGCCCCTGCTACATGACCTGACAACCGAAGGGGAATCAAGCTCATAAAACACAGCACACCCACACCCACACCCACACCCACACCCGCACCCTCACACACACCACCCCTCTGTAGACAATGGCATTTACATAACATCGAATCGTATTTTGTATTGTTTCGTATCGTTACATATCGAAGGCTGTAGGGCTGGCCAAAAATGCGTATAAAGCTTAACATTAAATATTTATAAATATTACGTATACGTAATCGAATTGATTGATTTTGCAATTTCACGCAAGTCGAAACAAATGCAAAGACACACACAGAGAGACAGCACAAACAAGGTTGATGTGAAAAGTAGGCAGTGTTGCTTAACCAAAAACAGACCAAACCAAACCAAACCAAGCCAAGACACCCCTCAGACTGGACCACTACTCCAATCAACCGAACTGTGGGTAACTTGAAACGAACTAAGCTAAATTGGGCGGGGGAACTGTGGAGGATTGAGCGTCTTAAGTGATTTCTAACTGTGGGGCCGTACAAGTCAGCAGCCAAATAAAATACATTATGTTAATGTGCACACAGTAACAAGTTGTATGCTTCCCAGCCACGCCCACACATTAGAGAAAGGGACACACACACACACATATACAAGCCACATGACCTAATCCTTTTTAGTCAATGACCAGCAAAATACATTGAGTGTAGAGTTGGGTTTTGGGATTGGGTTTTTCTTTTGTAGAACTGGCTGCAGCATCTCGCTTTGCTTCATTGCCGCTATAAAATGCCGACGCTCGGCCAAATCCGACGAAAAGTATCCGCAATCACAAAGCGGCACGTGTTGCTGTCCAACTCAAATTCTTGTTGAGCAAAGCCTGGTCAAAGCAGTAGTAGCCCAAAAAAGGATTCAACCTTCACACACCCCCAAAAGCCACACCTCCTCCGCATCCTTGACTTGTCTTGCCGCCATCTAAATGATTGGTAATTTGATGTTTTATTACATTTTTGCGAAAAGTTGATGCCTGTCCTTTTTTTTTTGTGAGTGCTACTTTAAAATTTATGAACGTTTCTTTGGGCCAAAGAAAAAGGGTTGGAGGCTTGCTTTTTGGGCCACTTTACTGCTGTGGCTTATAATTGTCACACAGTTTTTGACTGGCAACTGGCTTTAACGATAATGTGACCATATTTAAGTTGCAGTTAGGTTTACCCAAATGATTACCACAATGAAATCATGCCCTCATTTTATATTGTTATGTGGGAGACTTGATAATCTTGTGGATACATTATAAGTAAATTGTGCTTTAAGACGGATACCACATTATAATCTAATCCAACTATATATTAAGACGAACCCACTTTGATTAACAACTACATCTCTATTTAAAATACATAAATATATACTTAACAAAACTATGCAATTGGTGCTAAAATATAGAGGCATAAGTATAAATTAAATTTATAAATTAAGTCTTCGAATTTATTTTTAAGTATGATTATTATTAATCTAAGATCTATTGACCGATTTATTGTGCCCCGTCTGACTTAATAGCTTTTCTATTAATACCAATTGCTGCACCAATGCAAGAATGCTGGATTTATAAATATATCTTGGCATTTTATTGATCAAGTACACGGAAAAAAATCGCATATTCATGTTTTTACAAATTATACAGCACAATTTGTGCACTTTCATATATTATTAACATATTTTAATTTATTTTTAATATATGCATATTTTATTTTCACAAATATATCACTTACCACGAGCAAAACTGCCCGAATTTGCTTAGTCTTCCAATAAATGTGCGCTGGCATTTTTCTATCTGTATTTTCTCGTAATCATGGTTTCCATGCTGCAATAAAACAAGTAAATATTTTCCATTATAGTTGTGTAAGTTCAGCTATTGATTACATAGTTTTAAGTTACTCTTACAACATGAACTGTAGTTTAAATCTTAAATAACATTGGGCATTTAGAGTAAATAAATAAACAAATATAAACAATAATACACACACACACACAAGTCACGATAAGAACTTAAGTCAATAGAATTTGGCCTTTGAATAATTAAGGAAAATATTGTTAAATCGCTGCGCATGCAACGATTAATGAAGGCAACAACAAGCAAACAAGCAAACAAACAAACAACAAGCGACAGCTGAGCAAGTGCCAAGATATATGACAAACGTAATGGTGGCAAGGATGATGGTGTCGGTGGAGTGGCATGTGGAAGTTATGCCAGACTATTTGGGAGCATCCGTCTGCATAAGCGACGAGAACAAAAAAAAAAAGAAAAGAAAGGGGAAGAGGAAGGAGAAGGAGAAGAAGAAGAACAACAACAGTGAGCGTAATAAATACGTTTACGGCACTGAGACATTTGTCATTCAAATTAAGTACAAACGACATTACTCATTTCTTCGAACGAGCCCGTTAAATTTTCAGAGGTTGCCGCCCTCCTCAAGCGAGCCAACTGTGTGGGCGTGGCAGTTGCCAACAACCAAATGTCGGTGCAACAAAAGTAAATTTCACAAAATTTAACTGGCAAATGGAATTTGCTGTATTTTCTGGTTGTCTTCTTGTTTTTTTTTTTTGTCCTTTTTTTTCTGTGAAATTTTAATGTAGATTTATGCACGTTGATTTCGTTCTCGCTGATTCCTTGAGGCAACAAGCCAGCGAGAGCCACCCTGCTGTTTATTTTGAATTAATTTCATTTTGCAGTCCAGTAATTTGTTTTACTTGCGACGGGTGTGGCATGAATGGGGAAGGGGGCGTGCACAATTATTTAATGTACTTTTAAATATACGCACGTAATTATGGCTATTTAGCTGAATGCCTGGGGTAGCGCCTATAATAAAAGAGGCTTATTAAAGGGTTATTCAAATATCGCACACATTTACTTTTGAAATTTTCGATAATACTTGCCAAGACTGGTTTTCTTGCAAAAGAGTTTTAGTTTTATTCGCTGTTTTCTTTTTGTTGTAATTAACAAAAATATAAAATTAACAAAATATTTTAGTTAAATTAAAAGAGTTTCAACTCAACAAAGAAATCATTGCTTCTGTCTTCTTTAAAACAACCAATTCTATTCACCTTCTTATGCAATAATGTCCACTCGTATATGCTTCTATATAATTTATTCTTTAAATTGATTTTATATTGTCATTATAAGAAAAATATATTTCTGAGTCATGTTTAGTTTTATTTCTAAAAGGTACAATATTTAAAGAACCCAATAATAGATTTAAGTCATTCAGTAAATAACCGAATAATATATTTAAATCTTTACATTAATTAAGCTCAATCTATTTATTCTAATTTTTGTATTTTCCCCCTTTTTCGCAGGGTAACTCACAGTCAGACACACGAGCACAACACATTCAGATATTTAATGCCTTGGAGGATTTATTTAAGCATATTACAACGAAAAAAAAGCCTTACCTTATTTTAAAGCCCTATAAACTGCAATTCAATTAATAGTCATAATATATGTTATCCCTTGGCTGACAAAATATGTTGGCTTAATCAATCCGAAAGCACTTAAATGCACACCAGGGAACACTTAAGGTCGCCGAGCACGTACCACAAATTGAAAACCGCTAAAAATACACAAACACGGAACAGTTTTTTGACTAACGAAGGCATGTTCATATTATTGGGGCACACATTCAGATCTATCGCAATGTTATTAAAACTTTTCCATGTAAAACTTGGCCGTTTATCATGTTATTTTCATATATTTTTCTGCTCGACTGGCTGTTAAAGTTCATCTAATAGCCGAAACATTCTGTTGTAATTATGACCAGATAGCCATGAAAAATACTTTTCCAAATGCCAATACTTCAAGGAAAGTTAACACCCCTCCCCACTCCAGTGTTTGCCAGTGTCGGAATGTATTGTGACAGGGAATGTTCAGATGTTGCGGTTGTCAACATTTGCGCTTCATAGCAACATGGTCTACACTCGAACCAAAATTTTGAAGAAATCGCTCTGATAACCAAAAAAGGTTTTCCTGTTTCAAAAATTATTTTTAAATGTACCAAAAGACATTCCTTAAAATAGAAAGTCTTGATTATATTTCTCCGAAATATTTTAGATTGTTATGAAATTAATATAATATATAAATGAAATAGCCTTATTTTTCCAAGTATTTATCTTTAAAATTTGGAAAATATGAAGTTATGTTTCTATATTTAAAAAATATAAAAAATATATTTCCAAAACCTTCAGCTTGAACTAAAATTTATAAATAACTATTGAAATTCGCTATTTCGGCTGCTTTTTAAAGTTGATCTGTTTTTTGCCTTAGAAGCGACTCATTATATATTATTAATAGTACACATAAAAACTAATATGGTAATCTTTTTCTACAATTACGTTAAGAGAAGACAGACTCTGACTTTTAGAAATATTCTTAAATAATAAGGTGATTTTCTAAATTTCAGCGTAGTTTTTCCCTTAGTGTAGAAGACCCAAAGTCAACAGAAAAAATCAAAAATATAACTTCAAATGTTACCAGCGAGGTCATAAATAAGTAAACGTTGGGCTGGGCCGCACTCGCCCTCACCTTCAACCCCACATCTCCACCTCCACCTCCCCCTCCGCCCATCTGCAAAACGCCTGGAATCGTTGGGTGTCCATGTGTCAAAGCTCGCAGGTGATTTTGTGTGCTTTTTTATATGCGTACTTTGTGTGTAGTACTAGGTGTGGGTGTGTGTGTGTGTCAGGTGTGCGTGTGTGGTTGTTTTGGTGGTTCGTTGAGTTGGGGGGCAGACGAAAAGTTGTGTAATTAAGTGGCACAACCAAATGTAATTTTATATAATGGGTTAAATTTCGAGATTCATTTGGCTCAAGTTCTTAAAACGTTTGCAGAGAAATGCTTGTAACTTCAATAAATGCACGTGATGCAATCATAATTGTGAGTTTCTTTAATTCATAAATAATTGAAAATGTTTTTCCATCTTCAATGGAATCTTTATGTAATACAAGTGGACAGCATTTGCGATGGAGCCAATTGCAATGGTTATTTGCATAACGTTGTGCAATTAATAAAATAATTGAAACCGGATTTTTAAACAGATTTTAAACAGAAAACGGAAATCAGACAGACAACTCAGCCGAACAAAAGGCAGACAAGTTAAGAATGTTCGAAATAAATTAACTTCGTTCATGTTTTTTACACTCTTTCCACGGCTCAATTCACTTTTATACCTGGTGATGTTATATATTATATATCTTGTATCAATCACAATACCAAAAAAATGTACTGTGATTTTTATTGAAATTTTCAGTTGATTTCGGTTTAAATGTAACCTTTCCATTATATAATAATGATCTGCAATATCATAATAAACTTAACAATAATGTTTGAGAAAATCTGTGCTGAAAAATATAATTTAATTTTTTTAATATTGGCATAGGTAAAATTTAATAATTTTATTTAATTTACTTAATGCAATTTATTTATTTATAAAATTTATTTAGCTTATTTAAGAAAATTGATTTTGGTTTTTATTTAAATGTTGAGCTAATTTCTGTTAAGTTTGGCATCTTATTAAACTAAACATTATACAATAATGAACTGTTAGAGTATTGAATCGTCGATCAGACACACAAAATCAACAAACTGTTCTGTTTTATTGTTCCCTTTTATTTTCGTTCACCTCATTCCCTTTGTCATTGTCATTGTTGTTCTGCTTGTTGTTGTCCATTTGGATGTTGCTGCTGCTGCAAATGTTGCGCATTGAACTTTTAATTAGCAAAAGTGACGTCTGCTTAAGCGTGCTACCCTGCCACACCCCCCTCCTGTCATCTAGTGAAAGGTAAGGCGCATAAGGTGCCAGGTGTTTGCAGAGCAGGTCGGCGGGTCTGTTTGGGTCTGGTCTGGTGCACACCTCCCCATCCCCTCTTCTACTCGTATAGAATGAATGAAAGCAAATGACAACAAAATGAAATTCATTTCTATGCACAGATTGTTTGGTAGGCGTGGCATTGCATAACATTCTGTTTGTGTTTATGTATGTTTTTCGGGGGGATCTTTTATGATGTTGTCAACGGAGTCGTCGTCGTCGTCGTCGTCGTTGTCGTTCTCGTTGTCGACAAGTTCATAAATTATGAACAATTAAAATGTAGCACGGGAATTTCTTGCGGGGAAGCTAACGTTGTGAATTTGGGGTTGGTGCTCGGTTCTCCGGTTCTCCGCTCAGTTCATCAAAAATGTTTGCATATGTGACAAACAAGGGGTGTGCAGTCAATTGAAGCGCGCTACAGTGAAGCCTAACAGATAGTTACTTTGTTCGACCTGTTTAAGGTTTCTCTGTTACGTAAACGTACAACAAATTGTAAAGTTAAATGCAAAATTAATGTTAACCAATTCTGAACTGACACCGCCCACAAAGACCCTTTCATTAGGCAGGGAATCTTGGCAGCTTGCCGAAAATAAATTCAACTTGTAATGTGAAGCGAGAATATTTTGGGTTATACGCCAAGCGCAACTGATAAATCCATGAGACAAAATGGGAGTAATTAGGAAGAAATTTTTGGAATTTATGACTTTTTTATTATTTATTCATTTTGTTTTGCCATTAAAAATGGATAAAATGAAGTAGCTTAAGGGCAGGCAAGTCGCAGACTAATATATCTCCCACTGTGAAATACATATATACTTTTGAACAGCAAAAACGTCGATATAGCCATATTTGTCAGTCTGTTTGTTTTTATGCGAACTATATATATTAATGAAATTTTCTATTCAAATCCAGTCCACCAAAACAAGTAGTTGATTGCAATTGAAAAAGAGCTTTTACAAATATTTATCCTTATAATATGTATAAGATAAATTTATTTAATAAACGG